GGGCCCCAATAGGGGGTTATAAGAGGCAGCGACTCCTGTCGCTCTAAAAAATTACGAAGGGGGCGCGCACCATGCGCTCGTAGTTCTGCTCCAAACACTGGCCTGCCACTGGCCCGCAACCGCGTGCGCCATCGGGGCGCCCTCGAGGCTGTCAGGCAGGCCCACAGAGGCAACAATGGGGAAATTGGTAAGGCTGTGTCCACCGGGCTCTGCATCGTACACAGCTCGGCCGTGCAGCAGCTCAAGGAAAGCCGCTCGCTGGCTAGGGATCGCGACGTCCGAGGTCAGCAGGGGTGAGATCCTACCTCGAATGCGCGCATGCACACTTGCCTGCTCGGGGGTCCAAGGGGGCTCATACTCGGCCTGGCGTCGGCCCCCCGCCATCCATCTTAAAGCCTTTGCGGCTGCGTTGAAATCGACATTCAGTCGACGCAGGTGGCCTCGCAGGCCAGAAGCCTGGCGGCCACGTCCACTCGGGGCGGCCGGCGCGGGCGAAATAGGGATAGGATAAAGAGGCAGAATGGCGGCGCGCATCGCGCGCTCGTCTCGTCGCGCGCCGCCTGGTCTGGGCCTCCAGCGCCGAGTCGACCGGCCTCGGCGCCGGCCCAACCCATCACCCTGGCGGGGCCTTCCCGCCCGCCTCGGCGCCGGCGCCCTGCTGGGGCTGCCCGCGCCCTCTCCCTTTCGCCTCGCCCTTCAGCGCGCCGCCGCGACCTCCGGGGCCGCCCCCGGCCAGCGCAGGATGGGCGACCTCGCCGCAGCCCGTCGGCGCCGCGCCCCGCGCCTTCAGCCGCGCGTTCTCGATCTCCACCTCCTCCTTGGCACGACGGCGGGCGCGAGGGCGGAGCTCGGGCGGGACCGCCGAAGCCGCAGTGGAGGTGGTCGTGACATGCTTCACCCCCCCCCAGTTGGCACGCCCAGGAACTCCTTTCGAGCAGGCCTCGATGATCTGGCCGGCACGCCTCGAAACCGCCTCGATGCACGCCAACGAGGGCCCGTTCACCCGGTCGCAGCAGCCGCTCAGGTTCAAAATGTTGAGCAGCAGCCCCATCTCGATGCCGATGCGCTCCTGGGAGCTCACACCCGCCCCGCGGCACCAGATGGGATAGAGAAGACAAGGGTCACCTCACTGGCGATAGATGTTCTTGAACCACGGCAGCGTGGTGGCACGGCCCTCATGATGCTTGTCCCAATCGCTGAAATGGTTTGAAGAGAGCTCAGCGCACACCGAACGCCATGCCTTGTGCAGCTCACCATGCTCGTCGTAGATGACTGTCAAGGTGCGGGCGTCTTCTCCCGCTGGAGGTGTGTTGGTGCCACCGTCCAACGCGCCATCAAGTCGGCCCTCAAGACCGCCGCCGCCAGGAACGCCACCCTCCCCCCTCGATGTACTTCACTATCGTGGTGCACGCCACGTCGAGGAAGGAACCAACGTCGGCCAGCGGGACACGCTTGATGGGCACAGGCCGCCGTCGGGTGTCCAGGGCCATCGCGTACTCTCGTGCCGTGTCCGCCTGCACCGCGCCAGACGTCCCTCGTCGGCACCGAATATTATCCAGGTATCCGTTGCCGTCTGGCGTCGTGGTGACCCACACGTTGGGCCGCACTTCTGCCCAAGCCAACCTCTCATGCCAATACTCGCTGTCCTCATACCACATGGCAACCCTCTTGCCCGGCCGGATATCACGCATAAGCTCCTCCTCCGGCCCGACGTGGCCGAGGGACGAGAAGAGCTGGTACTTCCTCGACGACAGCATCCCGACGACGGAAGTAGCTGATCACACGCGCGAGCACGTACCTCACAAAACCGCCCGCGAACGCCCAGAGGAGAGGCCATAAACTCCACGCCGTTTCCAGCCCAGCCACGAGCTGGGTCACCTGCTCCTCCACGCGGGCCGCCACCGCCTGTATCTCCGCCAGCTCCTCGGGCACGAACTCGAGAGCCGCAGGGCCCCCCGGTGGGGGGGGCCTCGAATCCCCCGGCGCCGATATGCAGTCAGGGCACACGAGGGTCGGGCAGACCGGCTGAGGGCAGCCCGGGCAGACCAGCGCTGGGGTGGAGGACCACAGCCCTAGCACCAGCAAACCATGCACCGCTGCCCCCGCCGCGGCTGCCAAGGGGGATCGCGGGGGGCCCATGCGAGCGAACCCGTGAAAGCTTGAGCATATATATATATATATATATCGTGGAATGCAAGGGAGCGGATTCATATCGTCACTTGGTCCCTCAACCCCGTGTCCGTCTGCAAGCATACTCCGCACTAACATAAACACAAGCTGTTGAATGATTGGCGGGTGGTACCAGTGCGGAGGCGAAAAGAAGTCCGAGGCGTCCACACCGCACTCTGCGCACCTTGCGTGGATCGCAAGCTGGGACCGCTCCCAACTCCGCTACCACGTAAGATTGCGGGGGCGATGTTTGACGAAACGAGGCATAGCGGTAAAAAGATGTAGCCTTGCGGGCTTTTCAACTTATCGATACAGCGATAAAGCCAAACGGCCGCAGAGCATCCTATTTGAGCGACGGGAAGAAAGGGGGAGCGAGGGCAAGCAAGGCGCGTGAGCAAATGATCTGACGTCCTACACCTCCGCCCCATTCATTACCATGGCGTCGATCGCCTCTCGGTTCGCACAGTCGGATGTCGATCAGGGGAATGACCCCGAGAGGCTACGAGATGCATGGTTGTGAGCGTCGCACCACGGCGTAGAACAGCATGGCAGAGCGTAACATGGCATAGCACGCCGTGGCGTTGCATATTGCCGCATTGCAACGCAAAGCGTGGCATCGGGAAGGGATGGTTCGGCAATGCGGAAGCGCAAACTGCGAACCAACGCGGTAGCGGACACGCGTTTTGGAAATTCCGCAACAACGCTGCAGTGGGAGTATCCCTTGGAAGGGCCGGGAACCAGACAATGAAGCCAACGCTGTATCGGGAGCGCCAGTCTGGAAACGCGGAAAACGCTGTGATTGGACAGACGCATATCATCGATCACACGTTGGGGATCCGATGTGTGAAAACAATACGCGAAGAGGGGTCGTCTACGAACCTCGGGGTCTTCGGGGGAGACAGGAGTAGTATTCATACTGTATGATTTCTAGAGGAGCAGAGAGGAGGGGAGAGGAAAGATAAGAAAAGCAAGCTATGTGCGCTCGCGCCCTATGTGACGTCATACCCATCCTTCCCATTCCTCCCCATTGCGCTGATAATATTATCTAACCGCCGACGGGTGCCCAATCGGTGCCCCCATCCTGGGATGCGCAATTCGAAAAGGGGAGCTTCGCGCGTTGGATGAGAAGGGGGCGGCGGATGAGCAAGAGGATGCGCAGGAGAAACAGGGGTGGCATGAAAAAGGAGGACTGGCAGCAGCAGAAAGAATGATAGTAGGAACGGGAAGGGCAGGAGGACCACGGGAAGGTGGAGGGAAAAGGAGGGGCCGGCAAAACGAAGACGGAATCGGATCCAGAGATGTGACCCACATTGGGGCGAGACTCTGGCAGTTGCCGGCAGTTCATCGGGAACCCCACTCTTAAAAGGCCGAGAACGCGCCGCTCGGAGAAACATGCGCGGGGCAGCTGACTTGGGAAACCACATAACATCATGGGGCGAGAGGAGAGTAGTGTGTAATTGCACAGAGGAGGGAAGAGGATGGAGGAGGAGGAGAAGGAGGACGGACAATGGAAAACCCACAACTAATCAACGATGTTGGAATAAACCCTTCCTCCAATCTCCCTCTGCATAGGCCCCTACAAACGTTCATATCCACTGAGATACTTGTCCCGCTGGGGAACAAGAGCACGCACATCCAGAAGCCGTTTGAAGCACCATTTCCCAGAACAACGCCACGAGTTAACCTGATGACAGAATCTTGGCTATCCTGAGTCATGTCAAAACACCAATCCTGGGACTTCAACACCGCAAAATAACGTAACTGTTGCGCCATGACAATCATCAACCGGTCCACAACACCATGATGGCCGGTACGTTAAGCATGAGACCAAGCGAAACTCGTGCAAACTTTTAGAAGGAATGTGCGCGGCGCTGACGCGAGAGCCACATATTGAAAAATAGCCGCCCTCAATCAGCTAAGCTCTTGGAAACTTTTAAGAAGAGCGCGCGCGGCGCTGAGGCGTGAGCCTCACTGTGAAAACCGCCCGCCCTCACCCCGTGAAACTCTTTCAAAATTTTGAAACGCATGTGCGCGGCGTTCAAGCGAGAACCACATTTTGAAAACGACCCGCCCTTGACCCGTGAAACTTCTGCCATGTGTTAAACGAAAAATGTGCGCGGCACTCAGGCGAAAACCACAATTTGAAACCTACCCGCCTTCAATCCGCGAAACCCTTGCAAACTTTTAAGACGAACGTGCGCGGAGATGGAGGACAACTACATGTTGAGAACGACCCACCCTCAATCCGAGAAGCTCTTTCAAACACATGTGCGCGGCGCTAGGGCGAGAGCCACAGTTTGAAAACAGCCCGCCCTCCATCTGTGAAGCTTTCAATGTTTGAGCATCCGCGCCATGCATTATGAGGAAGTCTCAAGCGAGACGGCCAGCCCGTCCTTTTGACTGGACTCGGGATCCGACAGGGAGGAGCTACATATAAGGAAAAGGAACGGAGGAGGAGAAGGAGACAATCGGGGACCGAGTGAGCCGAGGGCTCCCGACAAAAACGTGAGAGGAGCAGGAGGAGCAGCAGCCGCTGAGAGGAGAGTTGAGGAAGCAGCAGGGTGGAGAGGGCAGGAGCAAGAGCAGAGGCAGGAGGAGAATGTATGGGACTGGGGTACGAGAAGGGAGAGCATGAGTGGGAGTGGGTGGGGAGAATCAGCAGCAGCTTCACATCCTCCTAATCCCCTTCCTCGCGCCTAGACGCGACAACGCGTTTCTGGGCCGCCCCCGCGCGTTCGCCTGATCAGCGCATGTTTGATCGCAGCCCGCCCCAGAGCGGCCGCATACACGTGCATCGCAGCTTATCTTCCTTAGCCTCCTCGTCCTCCTCATCATCCCTCTCTTCCTCATCCCTCTACCCCTCATCATCATGATCGTCGCCCCCCTCATCATGTGTCTCTCCTATCTCCTCTTCTCCTGCTCCGTATGTCTCTTCTTCCGATCACCTCTCTGCCTGGTGTCCTATGTCCTCTCCTCCTCGTGGCTGCTCCTCATCCTTCTGTCTCCTCCTCCGCCTTTCCTGCTCCTCCTCCTCCTGTCACGAATGGACAACGTCTTGGCTTGAAACCCAGGCCCGCCTGCGGGCGATTGCCCCTGACCCAGGCGCCCCGGGGGACGGCGGAAACACTCCTCCTCATGCGCCTTCTCATGCGCCTCCTCTCCCTCCGCCGCCTGCTTCTGCTCCGCCACCGCACTCGCAGCCCTGCCCAGAGCTCCGCCACGAGCCCCTGCCGCACCACGACGCTCCCCAGGGGCGGCAGCGCCCGAGACCTCGCGGCATCCACGTAGGCGAGTTGCTGTTCCTGCCCAGTGGGAAAAGAAGGAGGGTTGGGAAAGGAAGGGACGGAGGAAGGGTCATCCTTCTCCTCCTCCTCCTCCTCCTCCTCCTCCCCCTCCTCCTCCTCCTCCTCCTCCTCCTCCTCTCCTACCTCCTCCTCCTTCTCCTCCTCCTACTCCTGCTCCTCCTCCTCCGTCTCCACATCCTACATACTCTCCACATCGTCTCCTCCTCCGCCGCCGCCTCCTGCTCCTCATCCTCCCTCATATGTTTCCTCCGTCTCCTCATCCTCTTCCTCCTACTACTACTTCTCCTCCTCGATCTCCCCCATATCATCCATGTCGGCCATGTCCTTCATATCCTCCATACCCTCCTGATCATCATCCTCTTCCTCCGCCTCCATTCTTTTTCCCTATAAGCAAGCCCTCCTTGTCGCACCCGTGGAAGGGCAGGCCGGGCATGTCGCCTGGGAATTCCTCACCATTGATTACCTTGGTGCTTAAAGCAAGAGCTTCACAACTGGAAGACGGGTGGTTTTCAAAATGTGACGTTCACTTTAGCGCTGCGCACATGTATTCTTCAAGTTTGCAAGATCTTCACGGATTGAGGGCGGGTCGAGTTTGAAATGTGGCTCTCGCTTTAGAGCCGCGCACACTCCACATAAAGCGTTACAAAAGATTCACGGATTGTGCGCGCCTCCTTTTGCAAATGTGGCTCTCGCATTCGCGCTGCGCAAATTGGCCTTAAAACATTGCAAGAGGTTCGCGAAATCGAACGGCTAACGTCACAAGCTGATAATATGTAGCGGGTGACGACTGTCAGGGAACAGCAGTTACGTGGATTCGCGGCGTTGAAGTCCTGAGAATTATAGTCTGGCACGATTCGAGATCGTCAAGACGCAAGTTGATTAGTGGCGTTGACGATCCGAAGACTGGTTTTCCCCACCCGACAGGTTGGGGCTGTTAGATTTCAAGAACAGACCCCCGGCCAAACCCACGCATACCGCGGACGCCAAACCCAAATTGTCCCGAGAGTCCCCGAGAATCCCTGGGACTCCCGTCTCGCGCCCTCGACAAACACGACTGCATACCGCGGCCGCCAGAACCCAAGTTGTTCCGAGAGTCCCCGATAGTCCCTGGGACTCCCGCCTCGCGTCCTCAACAAACACGACTGCATACCGCGGCCGCCGGGCACCAAGTTGTCCCGAGAGTCCCCGAGTCCCTGGGACTCCCGCCTCGCGCCTTCAACAAACACGAAAAACACAGTAATGCACAACATAACATGACATAAAATAACATAGCAATCCCATGACAAGCACAGTGTACTATACCAACACGAAGCAAATCATGGCAGAACACTTCAGAACATAACACGACATAACACACCATACCGTAACATAACTGAACATAACTGAACACTCATTGACGGAATCTATCGTATCATGACACAGCGTTCAGAACAGATCATAACACACCAACAGAGCATAGCGACGAACACGACAGAACACAACGTGCCACAATGTAATATCCGCCGGCCCCCCTTGTGGGACCACCAGGCTGTACGGCGAAGGTTCGTAGTTTCCTGTGCTAGTTGCAGGTTCCAGTTTCCACTGTTACTTCTGCCTCTTGCTGTTTACTGTTCCTTGCTGACTTCTTGCTGCTTACTGTTCCTTGTTGATGGACCGCGCGAGGGGGGGAGGCCCAAAACGAGCATTTTACCACGCCCAAATCGTATGCTCTGAATTGCTGGGGTGGGTAAACATTGTCACCCCTCACGCAGATCGGCGGGGACAGGGTCTAAAAACACAAGGGATTTGATTTGCCACATTTCTGAAATTCGGTGGCACCTGTGACGCAGATCGGCGGGGTCAGGGTCCCAAAACACACGGGATGTGCCACATGTCTGAAATTCGGTGGCACCCCTCACGCAGATCGGCGGGGTCAGGGTCCAAAAACATGTGGGATTTGCAACATTTGTGAAACTCGCTGGCACCCATCACGCAGATCCGCGGGGTCAGGATCCACAAACACAGGGGTGTGCTACATTTCTGGAAATTCGGTGGCACCCATCACGCAGATCGGCGGGGTCAGGGTGCAAAAACACAAGGGATGTGTAATCTCACCAGCCCTCTGGGTTTAGGTGGTATAACGCGTTTTTGTCTTCTCTCTCCCCCTCCCCCTACTCCTCCCCTGGGCCTGGGAGGGGGGGGGGGACGGAGGCGCCGCAGCGTCCAAGATGGCCCAAGAAGGCTCCAAGAGGCCTTCAAAGTCGCAAAATGGCCTCCAAGATGGCCCATGCTACTTCAAGATGGGTCAATATAGCCTCCGACATACCCCCAAGAGGCCCCAAGACAGCCTCACGACGGATCCAAGTGCCCTCCGAGCCCTCCACGGCGCCCTCCAAGATGCCAAAACCCTTCAAACGCCTAGGGAACATCAATGTGTATGGCATTATTGCCTTTTCGCTACCGATGGGCGTTGGAAGCCTCAAGATGGCCCCAAGATGGCCCAAAAGATGCCCAAAAGGGGCCCAAGAAGGCCTAAGACGGCCCCAAGATCGCCCAAGAGGCGCCAAAGAGCGCTCCAAGAGGGCCCCAAGATGCCGTTTGAGAGCCTCCGAGGGGGCGATGCTAATTGAGGGACCTCCTCTTCTTGAGCCATGGGGCCCAAGATGACCCCAAGAGGCCTCCCAGCCTCTCCCCAAAGACCCTCAACCCCGCCCTGTTTGGCCCAATACATCGGCGTTACAAAAGTTTCATCATAAAATAAAAGTCGATCATCTTGCATAAGCAAAGACAAATCCCGCCCCGGTGGGATTTCTAGAACCGTGTGAATTGACGTCGGGATTTCAATCTGTCCCGTTTTAAATATATACTATTATAATAAGGGATGAAATCCCACTTTTAGAAATCCCGGATCTTTGATCCGACCGCTCTTGACACAGTCCGCTAGGATTCTAGGGGGGAGGGGGGGGGCCAACTCGGCGCGGCCAGGGCAGTGGTCAGCCGCTGCCCGCTTGCTCACGCGGAAGGAAGACACGAAACCCATGCCATGCCACCTTCAAGCTCTCATGAAACGTGACGAACTTTTGTAACGGCGTAGTATGGCTCCAAGAGAGCCCTAGGTAGGCACATTTGGTTTTCAAAAGGGCCTAAGATAGCCAACCATGGCTCAAGATAGCCTCCGACAGACCTCCAAGAGGCCTCAAGGCAGCCTCAAGATGGCCCACGATAGCAGAGCTCAAGAATTCTGAAATTCGGTGGCACCTGTGACGCAGATCGGCGGGGTCAGGGTCCAAAAACACACGGGATGTGCCACATGTCTGGGAATTCGGCGGCACCCCTCACGCAGATCGGCGGGATCAGAATCCAAACACACTTAGGATTTGCCACATTTCTGAAATATGGTGGCAACCCGCACGAGATCCGCGGGGTCAGGGTCCAAAAACACAGGGAATGTACCACATTTCTGAAATTCGGCGGCACCCCGCACGCAGATCGGCGGGGTCAGGGTCCAAAAACACAAGGGATTCGCCACATTTCTGAAATTCGGTGGCACCCATCACGCAGATCGGCGGGGTCAGGGTGCAAAACCACAAGGGATGTGTAATCTCACCAGCCCTCTGGGTTTAGGTGGTATAACGCGTTTTTGTCTTCTCTCTCCCTCTCCCCCTACCCCTCCCCTGGGCCTGGGAGGGGGGGGGGACGGAGGCGCCGCAGCGTCCAAGATGGCCCAAGAAGACTCCAAGAGGCCTTCAAAGTCGCAAAATGGCCTCCAAGATGGCCCATGCTACTTCAAGATGGGTCAATATAGCCTCCGACATACCCCCAAGAGGCCCCAAGACAGCCTCAAGACGGATCCAAGTGCCCTCCGAGCCCTCCACGGCGCCCTCCAAGATGCCAAAACCCTTCAAACGCCTAGGGAACATCAATGTTTATGGCATTATTGCCTTTTCGCTACCGATGGGCGTTGGAAGCCTCAAGATGGCCCCAAGATGGCCCAAAAGATGCCCAAAAGGGGCCCAAGAAGGCCTAAGACGGCCCCAAGATCGCCAAAGAGGCGCCAAAGAGCGCTCCAAGAGGGCCCCAAGATGCCGTTTGAGAGCCTCCGAGGGGGCGATGCTAATTGAGGGACCTCCTCTTCTTGAGCCATGGGGCCCAAGATGACCCCAAGAGGCCTCCCAGCCTCTCCCCAAAGACCCTCCACCCCACCCTGTTTGGCCCAATATGGCTCCAAGAGAGCCCTAGATAGGCAAATATGGTTTTCAAAAGGGCCTAAGATAGCCAACCATGGCTCAAGATAGCATCCGACAGACCTCCAAGAGGCCTCAAGGCAGCCTCAAGATGGCCCACGATAGCAGAGCTCAAGGATTCTGAAATTCGGTGGCACCTGTGACGCAGATCGGCGGGGTCAGGGTCCAAAAACACACGGGATGTGCCACATGTCTGGGAATTCGGCGGCACCCCTCACGCAGATCGGCGGGATCAGAGTCCAAACGCACTTAGGATTTGCCACATTTCTGAAATCTGGTGGCAACCCGCACGCAGATCCGCGGGGTCAGGGTCCAAAAACACAGGGAATGTGCCACATTTCTGAAATTCGGCGGCACCCCGCACGCAGATCGGCGGGGTCAGGGTCCAAAAACACAAGGGATTCGCCCCATTTCTGAAATTAGGTGGCACCCATCACGCAGATCGGCAGGGTCAGGGTCCAAAAACACAAAGGATGTGCCACATTTCTGAAATTCGGTAGCACCCGTGACGCACATCCGTAGGGTCAGGGTCGAAAAACAGACAGGTCCCGACACTGCTTCACGGCGGCGCCCAGACCTCATGATTAAACTTTTGAATATCCCATTGTCCGAGACAAGGGGCCGGCGGCATGGGGCGAAACCCTTACGGATAACATACCAAAACAAGATCATGGCATAACATGACGTAACATCTTATGGCAGTCGCATTACAAACCAGACCACGACATAACAACACAGAACATACCCTATCATGTCATGACATCATAACACAACATAGTAGACATAACACGACAACGTATTACAGACCATGGCAGAACATGACATAACAATGCATAGCATGATACACCATAACACATCATACCATCACATAACAAACATGACAGACCATACCATAGCACATCATGACACACTACAGCATGATATAACATCCCAAAACATACAATGGCATAATATTGCAGAGCAGAACATGACATAGCACACCATACCATAACAGGACCGATCATAACATAACACACCATGACGGAACATACCATATCACGACACAACGTTCATAACACGCCATAACACGTCAACATAACATAGAGGCAAACACGGCAGAACACAACACGCCACAATATAATATACCATAGCATAACGCGGTCATGGCATAACATGAGCAATCTCAATACAAACCAGACCATGCCACAACATCACATATCATACCATACCATATCATGCACAACACAATAGGCATACTACGGCATAACAGAAAAAAAACATGACATATCATGCCAAAACAATGTATATCATGAAAGAACAGAACACACCATAACGTCACATAACAAACCAGAGCATAACGTCACATAGCAGAGAGCCAGATAACATCAGAGAACAAACCAAACCAGAGCACAAGATAACATCACAGAACAAACCAAAACCAGGCCACACCCCCAGTTGTCCCGAGAATCCCCGAATCCTTGCCGCCGCCCCGCTGCGGGGGCCTCCTCGCCTGCGTCCCTCAGTCTAAGGATGGGAGGGGGGAAGAAGGAGGGGAAGGAGGCATGGGGCAGGAGGAGGAGGACAGGGGCCCAAGGTTCCGATGGGGATCGCTCGAAGCAACTAATTTCTTTGGCACGCTCCGAGGTCTTTAAACGGTTGTCTCCCAACGGGGCACTCCCTTCAGTGGAAATGAACCCTTGTAGGGCCTATGAATAGGAAGCCTTGGAGGAGGGTTTATATCAATGGCGAGGATTGGGCTGCTACTTCAAAGAAGAAACGGATCCCCCCAAAACCCCGAAGACCCTTAGAGTTGCCATGAAGGCCCGACCTGGAAAGCAGCAGCAAGCCCAACCTTTTTGTTGCATTTGCTAATATTGAAAAACACCACCAATCCGACCAAGGCCCCAGTTCCGCTCTGCGCGCTGAAAGCCAGGGGAGAAAGCCTCATGGGCTCCACCCGGAAACGCTGGGCTGGGGCCCGAGGCCCCTTCGGGGCCATGGTCTTGTCCCTCAAAAAGGTTTGCTGGAGTCTGGCCTCCACGTGTTTTCGATGCAACAATTGGAGCGGTGCCATTTAAAACTATTCTTCGTCAGCTTCTATCCAGAAGCTAATGAAGCTAGATTGGGAGGCTATGCTGAAGGAGCAAGCCGCGACCAAACTCGTACATGGAGGTTCGAAAATTGACGCTAGCGGCGAGAAGGCTGTGCTCGCGAGCCCCCACCTCACCAAGCGAGAAACATAACGCCTGCTAACTTATTCAACGCATGGTCGTTGGACCAAGGCTCGTGCACACGATGCAGACTACGACATCAATTGTGAATGTATTTGCGGCGCACCCTCCGACCGCATCCATCATCGTATTTTCGGCTTCCCAATTTCGCAGCTCGAAAGAGACCGGAGCTTTAGCGCAGACGATTTGGACTTGCTTAATGATCACTACCGTGACCCTCTATTCAAGTACGACTTCCAGACGGAGCCAGACTCCAACGTCAACCCTCTCTCTTGAACGGGCCTCGAGCATCTGAAGTTTTGGTGTGGGGACCCCACCGCTAGCATGCAAGGAGCTTTTTCAGGCCACGTGCTCACAGACGCAAGCTGCGATCCCAGCGCGCACCCAGCGTGCAGGGGCGCGGGCTTCGCTGTTGTGGCCACGAAAGAAGAAGAGGTATACGCCACAATCCCAGGCACAGTAGATAACATGTTCCAGCATACATCAGGGGCAGCCGAGCACCTCGCTGCCCTTGCTGCCTGTCGTGCCTCTACTCTCGTCCCCCACGTTTATACCGACTACCAGTCTGCCATCGAATTGCACACCAGGGCCACTTTCTCAAGGAGGAATAAGACGTGCTTTGTAAGTTTAGCTGTCGCTAGCCTCGGCCCCCCTGGATCGGTCCTGGTCAAAGTCCAAGCCCACAAAGACCTCCAACGGGAATTCGAGAGCACCGAGCATCGGGAGTTTGCGGTAGGTTTGACGAGGCCGACAAGGCCGCCAAACAGGCTGAGCAGTTTTTTTTCAGCAGACCAGGTGACGATGATCTGAAATTTCACACATACGACACCAAACTTCTGCGTATACGATTCGAGTATACTGGCTCTGTGCTCCCGAGATGGCCAGTCCGCGCCCCTAAGAAAAGCAAGAAGGGCACGGGCAAGCCTAGCAATACCAACCCTTCGATGGGTGCCGATCCTGCGCCCATGTGTGATGAACCCCTCCTTCTCCTCTTCCGCCCTCGGTCGACGCCCTCGGGACGGCGGGGGAACGCCAGGGAGTGGTCCACAATTGGGAATACGTCAGAGGTTACTGGCTGTGCACTGTCTGCCGAGTCCGAGCCGACTCATCCAGCCCTCAGATCGCTAGAGCCCACGAAGCCTGCCCTGGGCACTGTGAAGCCATGGCCGCCATAGCGGGGAATCTCAGAGGCCACAATCTTCTTTGGTTTGAAGATCTTGACAATTCGAGCACCCTCGTCCTTTGCCAGAGATGTGGAGCCTATACCGAGCGCGGTTCAGGTTTGTCTGGAGAGTGCAAGCTGAGTCCCCCGAACAAGTGGTGCACGTTCGCGCCTCGCCAGATCTCTGTGCCTTCAGCACCCCGAGAGCCGGAAGCACTCTCCAGTGATTTTCAGACCCCCAGTCCCCCTGGCACAATTCTACAGGCAGGGCATTCGGGCTGCCCAAGCTCGTGCCTCAGTCGATAATGGGTCCCAGGCTCCTGACCAGGAGGCAGAATGCCCGCCTGTTTCAGCGATGGGGCAATAGCAGTGAATAGGTCGCAGGCCTGGAACCTCAAGGTTTCGGGAAGGGCCGGGTCGGCCAATCCTTCGCCTTCCTCATTCACCAAGTGATGGTCCACCTCTACTCCTCCTCCTCCTCCTCGTCCTCGTCCTCGCCCTCGTCCTCGACCTCGTCCTCCTCATCCTCGGCCACATCCTCCTCCTCCTCCTCGTCCTTGTCCTCGTCCTCATCCTCGGCCTCACCCTCTTGCTCTACCTTACGCCTGGCCTAGAACGCCTCGAATTACGGTGGCTGGCGAGGACCGTCGGCAAAGGAAGGCGACGGCCTTGCTCGTGGCCGAGCCTTCTCCGGCTGCTACCGAGATCGCCTTAGGGGGGAAGGGGCCGCTCCGTAGCTTGGGGGGGGGAGTGAGGGAAGTGGGGAGCGTGAAGCAGGTGGCGGGAGGAGGAGATCATCGCTGAAGCCCCGCCCCTTCCCAGCACGTGCACTTCCTTCCCTTCGCTCTGGCGGGGGGCCCGCACCAGCGTCTCCGCAAGGGGGGACGCGCCTGAGGGTTCCCTGGGACCTGGGGCCCTGCACGGGCACCCTGGACGCCTGGCCCCCATCGTTTCCCTCCGCCTCCAACATCTGTTAGTCATATCCCGACTTTGGTGAACAGAGCACCACAGCGTCAAATCCGACGACCCAGTCGGCGTGTGTGAGTGGCCCTTCGACGCGAGGTCAGCCCAACCCAAACTGAAGTACAACAGCCTTCTTATTAAAGGAGGTCGAACAAACAACTCCCCCTCCTGTTCCTTCTCCTCATAATCAGACGGCGGGTTAACGCCTCAGGCAGCGTGCGCACAAACACGATACGGGCAGCTGACACAGCCCATTCAAGGGAGAAGGAACGAAGCAAGATAACTCACGGAATGAGATCATAGCACCAGGCGCTGTAGTGCAAAACAAGCTCCATCGTACCACCACTGTTGTGGACGACGGGCTGCCAGCCTCGTATCTTTGCGTTCGGCACGAACGCTGTAGCTTGTAACTGTTCAGCTGCGTTATCCAGTTTGGGAGCCAACCAGTGCAAAAGCTGCGCCGACCAGGAAAGACGGATTCGTGACCTGTCGAAGTGCTCGCGCCAATCCAGCAGCCGAGTGAAATGGCGATGGCTCCATTGGCGCCTCCGCCGACACAGGTCTCTGGCTTACCGGGCCATTCAGCGGAAACAGGTCGGCGATTCCTCGCCAGCCTGCCGTGGCACCCCCACCAGAAGGCTGACCCTGCAGCGCTGACAGGTATCGATGCGCTCCTCCAAGTTAGTGGCTGGTGGCCACTGGCTGCATCGATAATCGAACACAAGAAGCACCGACAGATCGAGCAGACGCAGACTTTGCCCCAGAGGAACGTCTCGTCGTCGATGCATATCACAATTTGCCCAAGAAGCAAGTCACATGGGTGGCATAGTCCTGTCGACACACATCGGCACGATCCCGTATCCTCCAGAATACGTCTCCAGACAGCTGGATCCGAAATACATGGGTCCCACCCCCTGCAGCGGCTATGCGAGATTTGCAAGATGTTTTGATGCGGAGTCCCGAACCGGATGACAGATGTAGCTTAAACACATCCAGCAACACGTCGCATTGTAGAGGGTGGTGGGACTCGTCTAGACGAAAGCCTCCTCCTCCTCCTCCTCTCTCCCTCGTGCTCCCCCACCTCCTCCTCCTGTTCCTCCTCCTGCTCACCCCCCGCTCCTTCTTGTGGAGGTAAGCGGTCTGACCGTTCGCCTGCGACTTCCTCTCTAGCGAGAACGCCCGCGCCAACTTGACCGAAGTCTTGAAGCCTCGGCAGCCCCTCGGCTTCCTCACACAAGCACTGGCGGGACGGGTGACCCAGGACCAGCTAGAAAAAGCGGACAGCGATCATAGAGATAATAATAACATGCATGGGTGCCATGTACGCAGTTGGCCCCAGACGTAAAAACTGGCACGGGCTTCCTGCACTGTGGACCAGGACGCTGGGCCCAAGGGCTGTCGCGCATTTTGCTCTGGGATTCGGCACCCAAACGATACATGATTTTGCGTCGCCAGCAACGCGAAAGAAAACGTATTGGAGGATGGGGGGTGAGATAGCAGTGGAACGGAGAGCCTCCCACCAGGAACTCGGATTCGTTTTCGTCGTGTCGCACGTGCTGGCGAGGTGAAGCCGGGAGGGCGCGCGACAAGAATGATGCCGCCGTGGCTAGGGGCCGTGGAGCCGTTAACCGCCCCGCCACCGTGCGCGCGGTGGCCCGGGGTGCTCCGCCAAAGGTGCGGGGGTGCCCCGTCGGTGGTGCGGGGGTGCTCCGCGGGTGGTGCGGGGGTGCCCCGTCAGTGGTGCGGGGGTGCCCCGTCGGTGACGGGGAGTGCCCCGTCGGTGGCGCGATAGTGAGATCGATAGTGAGATCGATAGTGAGATCAATAGTGAGACCGATAGTGGTATCTGTGATGAGATCGAAGGAGAGATCGATAGTGAGATCGATCATGAGACCGATTGTGAGATCGATACCCCGTTGGTGGCGCGATAGTAAGACAGATAGGGAGATCGGTAGTGAGATCTGTGATTAGATCGATTGTGAGATCGATCGTGAGATCGATCGTGAGATCGATCGTGAGACCGATCGCGAGATCGATGCCACGTCGGTGGGTGGCCTCGAAGGGGTTCGGGTGGTACTTATTTGGCCTCGAAGGGGTTCTGATGTAAAGCCGCAGTTCGTCTCTGTCAGTTGCACGTGCAGCATTTGCGGCCCGAGCGGGTCGCGGCTGTGTCGCTTTCATTACAATCGCAATTATGCATTCTCACCATAAGCATCATCGTGCATCGTCGCTGTCTCGCCGCCATCAAAATCATCGAAATCGTCGTCAACTTGTGTTCTCTCCCCAAAACCTCCTTATCCCCCCGAAGGGTGGTCGTATAGGTAGATTATACGCGGGCAATCGTTTCGGCTACCGCGTGCGTTCTCAATGTCACTCCTGCCAAGACCCTACCAAGAACCAAGAAACACAAACTATCAGCCTACCACAACGCGGAAAAATCACACCAAGACCCTAATATGCTTTCCCAGCCCCAACGAGACTCTACCAAACCCAAACCAAATCCTGACAGCACCCCCACCAGGACCCTGCCAGCTCACTGCCGGGCCCCAAGGAGGACCTCGCCAGGAATGTATCATGACTTGCCAGGGCCCACCAGGACCCAACCAGGCTCTCACGAACGACCACCCTACCAGGACCCCACCAAGTCCTGACCAGGACACTCCCAGGACACAACCAAGAACCGACAGAAGAAACTGTCAGCACCACCGCACCGGGACCCAGCAATGAACCCACCAGGAGCATGTCAGGACCCTTCCAGGCGCCACCCAAGGACCAAGCGGAGTCCAACCCTGACCCTGACAGGACCCTGCCAGGACCCAAATCCAGACATCCAGACGCTGATCTACGTGGCGCGGTAAATTGACGGGGGCAGCGCCACTGCCCTGCCGATGATCGGGCAAAGGGGAAGTGTCTAACATCATGAACAAATAACAAATCCGAGTGCACTGTAAACAGGACTACGAAACTGACGGCAAAGAATGTGACTTTACGGGGGGCACATATTGGACGGACGTCTGCCAGAATACCCCGACTACGGGACATATGTCCGCCCTCTCCCTGGAGGCACTAATCTTTCGGGGGGGACTTAGTTATGTTGACCAACCCTGAACGCACAATGCTCGAAGTTACGTTGACCAACCCTGGACGCGCAATGCTCGAAGATCCAACCGCTTACGTTGACAAGACTATCTTGAAGGCCGCTGACGTTGGAAGACCAAATCCATTCAATTGACGGTGGTATGCTGGATGGCCGACGACCAGACGTGCAGGGCTACCGCGAATGTTTCGGCAAACCGAGGCAAAAAGAGTGAGGGAGAGAGATAGCGAGGGTGAAGTAAGGAGGGCGGAGGGGGAGAAGGATCGCTGATGGCACCATTGCCGCCGAGGATGAGAAGAGAGGATGGGGACAAGGGACAGGATAGTGGGTGAGAGGGGCGAGGGACGAGAATGAAGAGGAGAGGGACACGGAGGAGGAGATGGGCGGCCAGGCGGCGGCAGCGCCCCTGACGAAATGCAGATCGATGCGGACTGCCTACAATGTTCTCTCACGGATGTGCTGCACACCATCTACGCAACACACAAGCGACACTTTGACAAACCAAGACACGGCGTCACGACTGCAAACAGGAAGCAGGAAGGATCGTCGTGCGCAGATCACCAGCTATCCAACGACACCGATCCTGGCCAGACCGATTTGAGCCTAAGATCAGTGTTCGCGCTGCACGCCTTCCTTACGGTGCCTTCGTGACGCTGCAACATTCAGAGAGTTGAGTGGGTGTGGGCAACTCCCACGCGTGGGACCACAGCATCCAGAGAGTTATACGAGAATGGCCATTCGGAAGCTCGTGCTCAGCGCACCTTCTAGCCAGTAGTAAGTCTTGGGAGAGGGGGAAGAGAAAGCAGCCTATCAGCACCTCAAGTGATGTCGCTCCTGCGAAGTGGAATCCCAGATCCCAGGAGCGCGTTTGCTTTGTGACCGATTCCTTGCACCATAGTGGCGTTCCCTTCCAATGCTTGACAACTGTTGACTTCTCTCGTCGGCGGCGGAAAAAGAACAGTACAACGGCGTCCAGAGTCCTCCCTGCAGCTGCCCTGTGAGACTACGATTAAGCGCATCTCCATTTTCTGCCCTGCTTCGCATGCACCTCAGTCTCGAGGCGAACCATCCTCGAAACCCAAAACGAAAGCCCGAGCGCCTCGGAGCTCCTGTCCATCTGACTGTTTCTAGGTCCATATATGTAACCTGACCGTCAAACACCCTGATGCTCCGAGAATCTACACGTCAAAGCGTCAGCTACTGAATCCGAACAACCAATTCGATGGTTTCGATGCCCAACCGTCAAGCTGTGAGCTTCTGGACGACAGCCGTCATTCCGAGCAATTAATATGTCCGGGGCCCTGCTTTCGATGTGCCCAAGATTCGTCGTTGCGCTCATGTCTGAGGGAATCCGCCTGTCTGGCGTGTGAGTTTCAAAAAGCCTAAGCTACAGCCGACAGCCCGAGCTTCAGCTCTGCTGGGGGGGGGGCGAAGTGGCTCTGCCGGGGGGGGGGCTGCTCCGCCTATGCTCCGCTTTCTGGGCGAGGCTGGGATACGTAAAAAACATAAATTCCCACCCTGGGGGCCAGAGAACCCAATATGGCCGCCAGATATTTCCCAGACGGCTCAGGATGCACCCAAGATGGCCCAGGATGCCCTCCAAAGAAGGCCCGAAGAGGCTCAAATCAGTGATTTTCAACATGCGTTTGAAGGATTTGGACGCGTCATTTTTGTTCGGCCTTTCGACGGTCCCAGAGGCCCCCCAAGATCGCCCCAGAGGCCTGCAAGGTGGCCCTATGACGGCCCCAAGAGGGTCCCAAGACGGCCCCGTAGGCCCCCAAGACGGCCAAGATAGCATCCAAGACGGCCCTGAAACGCCCCCAGTCCTCCCAGACGGCACAGCGAGGCGCCCAAGACGGCTGCCGACGGCGTCCGACGGGCCAGGAACGCCCTAAGACAACCAAAAGGCGTCCAAGAAGCCCGAGGTTCAACGAACCCCTTCAGAGGCCTCCTCCTACGACGGCCCTAAGAGGGCCCCGAGACGGCCCCATAGGCCTAGAAGCGAAACCGAGCACCATCCGGAGTGCCCCGGATTGGCGGCAGCGGCTGGAGGCCACTACAATATCAAGCCACCCGTTGAACGCAATTCCCAATCATCTAACACGGTTTCAAAAACCAGACTGTTTGTACAGCTACGCCCCCCCGAAATCCAAGCAGATTGTGAGAATCAAACCCATCATACTTGTCCGAGGTATGGTGAAATCTGCACTTCTTTCGATCATCAGGCAGTATTGCCGAGCAAACCTCGACTCGAGGGTGTAGTGCCACATGCATCTAAGCAGCGCTGTCTCGAGAAGTCTAAGCCTGCGGCTGTTGACCAGCGCTGGCTCTGGGTGGTCATCTGGACGCAGCGAAGTGAACTGCTGGTCCAGGAAAATGAAAATCTGACTGGGAAGAATCGGTTGAAGCGTCGGCGATGGTGATGACTTTTGTGACGATGGGAACTTCCGAACATATCCTCCTGGTCAGACGTTCTTCTTCCTGGCTTGTGAGACCGCGACCGCATGCCCAACACCAGCTGCACCTCGGGACACGATTCTGTCACCAAATAAAACGCATCAATTTAGCAAACATGGTAGGGACAACGGAGGATGCGATTCCTTATGTCACACCTTCGAGACGTGGAGAGACAATGCTACGTAGTGAAACCGCGCAGAAACCTCGGTTCCAGTCCAGACTAGCCCATGCGCGGCTCGACTAATCCTGACCATCATCAAATAAACCACAATATCCCGCTTGCCTCTACCAGCCCCTGCCCATCTCCAGCTGCCATGCTTGTCGCTGAAGGCGCTGTTTGCCTTGCCCCCGCTAGCCCACACAAGACCCAGCGTGGCCCAAGGAGACCCGGCCATTATCAAGAGCACGAGTCGCCGCCCCCAGCCCCGTGCCTAGCCACACAAACTCCTGGTTGCTCCTCCCCGGCTACACTTGCCGTGACTGTCGCTAGAAACGCCGCGCGGCGCTGCTAACCCACGCTTTGGCCCCCCCGCCCCAGCCCCTGCCTAGGCCCACCAACCCTGGCTGCTGTTGAAAACGCTGGTCTCCACAACCTGCCGTGAAGGAACGGGGCCCTGAGGGAGACTTTTCAGTCCACGGGCGCCAGGTGGTCAAGGACAGTCGGACGCCGGTCATGAGGAGACTTTTTCTTGGGGGGGGGGGGTAAAGCGTGTTACGTGGGGGGGGGACGGGGGGAGGTGACGGTAACGGCGGCCGCCGCGGCAAGTGCTAGTACCTAGCCCGAGTACGAGTAGTACGAGTAGTACCAGCAATACAACAATACTAGTAGTAAAAGTAACCCTCGTAGAGCAGGTAATACGGGCAATACTCATAGTGCACAAAGTACTAATAATATTATACAACTAAGACGAATGTAGATGTAGTACAAGTAGTAGTAGTAGTAGTAGTAGTAGTAGAAGAAGTAGAAGTAGTAGTAGTAGTAGTAGTAGTAGTAAAAGTAGTAGTAGTAGTAGTAGTAGTAGTAGTAGTAGTAGTAGTCGTAGTCGTAGTGGTAGTGGTAGTAGTAGTAGTAGTAGTAGTAGTAGTAGTAGTAGCAGTAGTAGTGACTGTAGTAGTGGCCGTAGTAGTAGTAGTAGTAGTAGTAGTAGTAGTGGTAGTAGTAGTAGGGTAGTAAGTAGGAGTAGTAGTAGTAGTAGTAGTAGTAGTAGTCGTAGTAGTAGTAGTAGTAGTAGTAGTAGTAGTAGTAGTAGTAGTAGTAGTAGTAGTGGTGGTAGTGGTAGTGGTGGTGGTAGTAGTAGTAGTAGTTTAGTAGTAGTAGTAGTAGTAGTAGTAGTAGTAGTAGTAGTAGTAGTAGTAGTAGTAGTAGTAGTTGTAGTAGTAGTAGTAGTAGTAGTAGTAGTAGTAGTAGTAGTAGTAGTAGTAGTAGTAGTAGTAGTAGTAGTAGTAG